CCATCGTATTTCGCACCTATTTCATTTTTTTGGTGAAAAATTGTATATAGTGAAAAATTATTCTTTATTTTGTTCACAAAAAATCCACTGAATTCAATATGATATTACAAATTGAAAAAAATTGACAAAAGAAGAATAACAAATTGAAAAAATCTTTAACTTGTTCGCTGATTTTTTACAGCAACTGTTTAAAGATCCTTACAAAGTTTGTCAATAGAATGTACTTTTATTTAAAAATTCAATTCCATAGGAATTTTTTTTCGATATTTTCCCGTTTTGAGAATTGTTGCAATGAGATCTCTTTTTTCGTGTTTCTTTTTAACGATTTTGAAAAAGTAATTACTTTTAACTTTGGTGTGACCGCGTTAAATTATTTCGATATCATCTATTCCGTTTCGCCACCACATAATTTAGTACTACACTTCCATGTAACCCGCCATCAATTTCAGTTCTCAAGAAATCAAGTCAATTAAATAAATTGGTATTAATATTCAAATTCAAAAATATAATAAAAAACACTACAAATGTACATTAGAAAAAAGTAAGTCAAAATGTAAAAAAATCATGCAAAATAAAACATTACTATTGTACATTTCAAAAGTCAAAATGAAAATGTTAATATATCACATTTTTACGCGATTTTTTTGGATATTATCCTTTTCGGAGAGGAGACAATTCAGGATTTGTGTGAATCGTTAAAATCAGTCCAGCGGTTCTTAAGTTATAAGCGTAGTAACTAACACAACTTTCATTTATATATATAGATTCGTACAGTATTCATCTCAGAAACATTGAAAACATTGTTTAAAATATTACATATTTATTTTATGTTTAAATATTTGGTTGTGAAAAAAAAAACTATTATAAAATCCATAATAAGAAATTAAATCAGAATAGCTTCGCATTTCGAACATTGCGGGCAATGTGATTTTGAATATTCTCAGAATTTACAACACAAAATAATTGTAAATTTTCGCCAAGACAATTATAAGTGGAATATTGGGTCGAAATCGTGATATTTTACAAGCCTTGAGAGAAACTTTTATCATATCCAAATCTGCAGGAAAAACATCTGCTTTGGGAAACTCAAGATATCGGTTATGTCTGGTCGGAACGAACTTTTAATACCGTCCACCATTTGAAAGGATCTTTTAAAAATGTCAAAAATTTCGTTGAAAAATGCCGCTTTAATTTAAAAAATTCCGAATAACGAAAACGTGGACATCTACAGTCAATTATCTGGCAGAAATGTTGATGCCTATTACGATCACCAAACACCAAGGGAGATAACATTATATAGAGGCTATACGAAGGCAAGGAAATTTTCTGTCGTGTGAGATAGTACCCATTACGAACTTCAAATTTTATAAGGGGGTCTATACCAAAACTTGGTCCTACAGAGTGAGATAAAAAAAAAAACTGCAACAAAGTCAATCGCCATAATTTTCAATTTTTTTTTAATTTTTATTGAATGAAAGCAAAAAATATCGGAAATAGCATCACATTTTAGAATAAGTTTAGATTTGTTCGAATTGGTCACCTTTGGCACGAATTATGGCCTTCATATGGCCAATGAAACCGTCACACGCTGCCCGAATGTTGCTCTACGGTATTTTGGCCCATTCCCGGCGAAGTGCTTCCTTCAGGTGATCGACACTTCGGTATATTTTAGTGCTTGCTTTCCAAAATACTCCAGACACAATAGTCCAATGGATTGGTATCAGGAGATTTTGGCGGCCATTGTGCGCTGGAAATGAAGCGAGGAACCTCATTTTGTAACCATTCTTGGAATGTTAAAGGTCTGCGGCCAAAATGTTTGTGTGCCCAAGGCTTTAGTACACCCTCGAGAATATTTTTGTGATAATATTCTGCATTTATTCTGATGCCACGGTATATTAATACGGAGAGCGACCATCGGCTAAAGCTCTTCTCAAGAAGTGTTACAAAAAAAAAAACGTTATATTTGGGGTTGATGACATTTTTTCTGCGATAGTATAAAAATATATAACATCGAGGATATTTTTATATCGGGGCAATATTTTAAGGAGAATTAATATGGTCTATTTGCTATTAATGATTATGTCTGGCAGATTTAGGTATTTATAATTAGAGAGAAAGAAATGGGGAAAGAAAATTTTCCAAATGACCCACACCACAGTCATTGAAGTCTTTGGATAACTTAGCAAGGCTCATGAGTACAACAAGAAAACAAATAATAAAAATTTGATATCTTGAATGACGTTTCCAAATTTTACCAAATTTTCTGCAAGATTTCTCATAAAATGAACAAAGTAATAGAAAGGTAATTTTTGTCATTCCAGAATCTGTAAGGAAGGTTGACTTCCAAGACTTCAGTTGCTACGCATGCAAAAAAAAAAAGTATTTGCTTCACAGCGTCGCAACAGCAAATGTATGCAAAATATTTAATTCTAAAACGCTTTCTTTAGAAATACCTTAAATATTTCGATTTTGGAAGCGAGCCAAACTAACATTTCGTTTTCGAAATTTTCAAGATTTCATAACTATATTCGTACGGGAACCACATTTCTCCTCTGCCAGGAAAGGTTTCGGGACCTATTTTTGCATTTTTAAATATTATTATTTTTTTTTTTTTTTCAAAAAGTATTTCCATTATTTCTTGAAATATTCTTTTAATTGAGTAAATGTTGTCTAGCTTTTAAAGTCTAATCTTTGTCACTTTGCGAAGAAGCGCCAGTATCAACTGATAAAAAATTCTCTTAAATAAGATGTAAGAATTATACAAAATTTTTTAGACCCTGAAATAGTTTGATAAGAGTCAATGATTTTGTTATTGTTTTCATTAAACATACGTGAGGGAAGTTCAACAAACATTTTGTATTGTAATTAAATAAAATACTATGTTTTTTTTTTCTCAAATTAAAACAAGTGCTAGATCTCATGACATTTTACAGTGCTTATGGCGGTAAAGGTGAGAATATGTAAAACGCTTTTCTGACTGGCTGAAGTCATCGGCTGGCTTCTTAGGAAAAGAATAAAGGAGCCTAGGGCCGAAATCAAACTAGGTCAACCTAAAACTCCTTTGTTCCTCTACGAAGAAGCCAGCCGATGACTTCAGGCAGTCAAAAAAGCTTTTTATATACTTTCACCTTAACTCCTTGAATCCTCATTCGATTTGTCTAATACGAATTTCAAATATTTCTTTTTTCGGAATTTTATATTTAACATATTTTAAAAAGTCAATTTCAATAAATAATAATTTATGGCAAATCAGCTCAAAATGGTTTTCAATACGCCACTGATTACATCAACGTGATTCAAGACAAGCTGGTCTTTAACTGCATTTTTTTTTTCATTCGTTTATGACAATTACAAACGGGTTCTTCACGATTTCTGGGATAATTATTTTAAAATATAAATATGATCCGATTTATTTAATATCAATTCAAGTAAAAAAGCAGCTCAGTTTGGCTGGGCCGAACTTTTAATACCCTACACCATTTGGAAGGAACTTGAAAAATTAAAAAAAAAAAAAAAAAAACTTAAAGACGTGGACCTGATCATAGCATTTAGTACCCATTACGAACTTCAAATACGAAATTTGAAATGATTCCGGTGAATAATGTTTCTGAAATCATCGAAATACCGAATATCGGGATGTAGCGTTATATGGGGGCTATACGAAAACGTGAATCTACATACGAATTTTTTGTAATAGGCTGTAGTGCCCATTACGAACTTTAAATACGAAATTTGTTACAATTCCGGTGAACAATGTCGAACAAATCATAAAAATACTAATACTCGGTAGGTACCATAATATGGGGGCTATACGAAGACAAAAAAAATTTGTCATAGGCTGTAGCACCCATTACGAACTTCAATACTCGGAGGTACCGTCATATGGGGGCTATATGAAGACATGGACCTGCATAAAACTTCAAATACGAAACATGATAATTCCAATAAATAATGTCGCTAAAATCATGAATTTTGAAACGATTCCGGTGAATAATGTTTCTGAAATCATCGAAATACCGAATATCTGGAGGTATCGATATATAGGGCTATACGAAGAGGTGGACCTGCATACAAAAATGTTTGTCATAGGCTGTAGTACCCATTACGAACTTTAAATATAACATTTGAAATAATTCCCATAAATACTGTTGTAAAATCATGAAAATTCCGAATATCGGGAGGTACCGTTATATGGGGACTATACGAAAACGCGGACCGACATGGCCCATTTCCGAACTTAACCTGCCTACTGGTAAACTATGCATGCATGCAAAATTTTAGTCTTCTATCTCAATTAGTTCGAAAGATAGCGTGGTCTAGGGTCTATTATGAGGAGTTACAAATGGAATGAAAAAGTTAATATATCCTCCCTAGAATTGTGGATGGTATAACAAATAATGTTTTGGGCTTCTGACTTGAGTATTCATTAAATAAATTATACGCATTCTTGATGATAAGCGTTTTCAACAGGAGATTCGTCCTTCTACAGGATCAAATTTTGAATTAATGTTTTATTTCTAAATGCGAAGAATAATAAAATCTGCGAAGAATAATAGAATCATCTTAGTATGTCTTTTGTCTAAGGAAGACCTTAAAGGTATTCTAAACATAGAAAGATTTAGAAGGTGTATAAACTGCATGACTCCCGAAGAAATAATTGAATTATCCCACAACTTATATCACAACAAAGTGAAGAAGTTTGTAAGGAGTAAAAGACGAAAACAAGTTCTGTACAATATTTAACGCCCTTCAATTTAATTTATCTTCCATGGAATTTTTTTGTCCATGTCCATGATTTTCCAAAGTGGACGAAAACAAAAATATTTCTCTAATTTCACCTGTCGTAAAAAATGTATTTATCTTCTACGTAATTATTTGTCCATGACACTTAATTTTTGCAAACTGATCCCTCAACATTGTAGGTATGTAAGTGCTCTCCAATTATGCCAACAATGAAATGATAATGTCTTCACTAAAATAAAATATATATTCACAATTAATTAATTGTTAGTTTGTAAAAATGTTACTATTATTATACTAATCCACATAGTGTATTCTTTATTGAGTTATCCCCTTTTAATTCCTCTCTGTTTTTTTTTGTTTCTTTTCACATTACTTGTTTTGTAGCCTGTAACACCCACCGCACACGCAAAATTCAGCTATTCGAATGATTTATGCATATTGCTGATCTTAACCAAAATTACAACAGGAATTTGTCTTTTTGGCTGTCTTATAGAAGGCTTTACTTTGCATCGACAAATTTTCCGATTTTGCAACCATATCATCAAGTTTTTCACCTCTCTCCAGCACTGCCTCAATGGTGTTTTTCAAAATGATCTTTGTTTCGTCCAAATCATTTTGCATCTTTGTCAAGGCATCAGCTTCTTTGGGATCTTGATATTTGGCCAAGAATGATGGTAATATACTAAAATCTATGCTATTCTCAGCACCCGTTTGCCATTGATCTGTGGGTATTTTTGCTGCAAATTCCTCTAGGACTTTAGTGATTAGTGTGTGTGCAACTCTTTGGGGATACTCGTGATCGGCAATCAGGACTCCGGCCAGATTATCTGTTCTCACATAGACATGACACATATAAACATCCTGTTTCACAGATTGGCGCATAGCCGGTTGTGTGCGTTCCACCAGGGTTTTTGAGGCAAAACTAAAAAAAATGGGAAAGGAAGTTAATTGATGAATCATTCATTACAAATTAATGGTCATCCTTTGTGGTGGCAACAATCTTTCATATACACACCCACTTCATCCCCCGCACTTATATGGAACTTACGTCATAAACTCCTGCACTGCTGTCCTTTGGAAAAATGAAAACGATTGCAAATCATATGTGGACTTGAGCAGTCTTGCTTCGGGGCTACCCTTATAGAAAACACTTAAGGAAAATAATTTAACCATTTCTTCGGCGTAGAGCTTCTTTTTTTTTGGTTTACAACAAGTCTGTCGTCTGTATGGGAGTTCCAACAAATGTCAATTTACGCGTATGCTGTTATCTTGTGTTTGTTGTAAATTTCACAATACTGGTGGGTTCAAATTGTATGGTTTTTGATACGTGTTTTAATGTTGAGTCGAGTTTTCAAATCCCTGATATATATTTTACACGAAAAATGTTGTATTTTTAATATTTTCTAAAAAAAAAAGTGAAACTGATACTGATTTTGCTCTTCTCTCTCTCACACTGAATGAAATAGGGTTACATAGGTCGACTTTTGTTTAAGGCACTCAAAGTAACGGCGGCAAAATTTTGTGGGTGACTCGGCTTTTTCTTTGCAAGTGGAAATGTTAAAACTACGTTTACAAAAGACGAGATAATGGAGTTCAGATATTAATCTCGCCTTTATAGAAGACACAATCAGTTAAATTAAAGTTTTATTTATAATAGAAAAATACAAGTAGATGCATCAGCACTTGCGAGTATTGAAAAGCCAAAAATGTTCAAAAGATTCTGCAAAAATAAATTGATTTTTAAATGTTATCTTCCACAATGACATTCAGAGGTTGCTACGATATGTCATTTTTGAGCTATTTTAATCATTTTAACTAAATTTCATTCAAGAATTTGTTTTTTTTTTAACTCTTGATGAATATTTTTATCGGAAGTAGCTGAATATTTTTATCGGAAGTAGCTGAATATTTAAATATGAAATTAGAACGAGAGCATTGATTTGTAAGTCTTATTAACAAAGGTATGTAAACAATTTTATTTGATTTATCAACCTAATTTCTTATTTTCGTAACAAATTTTTAGTAATCAGTAACGCCATGGATTGTTATAGTAGTGATCTTTTCTATAGTCATAAACACTGCTGCTGCTGGATGATGATGATGAAGACGTCGATGAGCTGCCTCTAAAACCGGAACCAACCACTGATGACGATGATGATGCCGTAGACGCTGAACCACCGAATTGCGATGCCGCTGATGATGCTGCAGCCGAAGAACTGGACAGCGAGCCAATCTTATTATTACCAAATCTATTTGAATTGTGATGTTGTCCAAATTTGGGAGGATGTTGATAATAACTTTCTTGTTTCATTGAATGGTGATTGGAATAACCATCGCCTCGATTGGAATTCCAATCTCCACGATTGTGGTGAGTCGACCCTCCAGTCGTTCCCAACGTGGATTGTTGATTGACATTCTGATAATTGTTGATGTTTATGACTGGTGAATTGTTATTCTCACCATGCAGTCCATGTCCATAGATTTTGGAATGCAAACTGTCACGGATGTTGTGCAAAAGTACACCACCGCGACATTGGGCCACAAGGATGAAGGATAATGAAATGAGTAACTGAAAAAAGTATACAAAAATTAATATTTCTATTCTTACTATTTGACAATAATGTCACTTACCACCTTCATGTTTACTTTCCAGGTGTCTCCGTAACACTGCTGAATATTCTATCAATGTGTATGGTTTTATATTCTTTCACAGCTATCAGGTAAGATTCATTTCCGTTATGGATAACTTGGCGTTAATCCTTTGCTAGTTTTTTTTTTTTTTCAGTGATGCTGCCCATAGAGTACCTGCGAATGTAACATAGGCAGATGTTCGCATGAAAAAACCCTGCTAATTATTGCAGAATTCATAGAAATTGTCATTAGAAAATCATTAATATGTTGGAAAATGGGTAAGAACCGGTGTTAAATGCAGGATTATGCGATAAATCTCAGATGGATACACATTCTACGACACATATAAAATTTCGCAATAGTACAACTATTTATTATAAACATTTCTCCTGTTGCAGTCATGAAAGTAGATTACCAAACAATAGTTTCAGGGAGATTTTATGGAAAACTGCGCTTTCTATGGACCGTAAACTCAATCACAACAACAATAATTCATGTCCTATTGGTAAAGATATTCTTGGACCCAGTTAAAAAACGAGTGTGAAGCCTCTTTTTTTTACTGGCTAAAGGTGGGAATACATTAAGCGCTTATGTGGCAGGATTAAGTCATCGGCTGGCTTAAATTTTACCCAGGGATTGCCGATTTTTGCTTCAACAATGACGATATTTTAACGATCGACACAAATTGTCTCACATTTTAAATGGCATAAGAAGTTGCCAGTCATTTTAGAACATCTAAACATGTATTTTTTGAAATGCAGGGTGAGATAAAAAACTGCAGGAACATCAAACGCCATAATTTTTTAAATTTTATTGAATGAAAGAAAAAAATGTCGGAAAATGGCATCAAATTTTAGAATAAGTTTAGATTTGTTCAAATTGGTCACCTTTGGCACGAATTATGGCCTTCAAACGGCCAATGAAATCGTCACACGCTGCCCGAATGTTGCTCTGCGGTATTTTGGCCCATTCCCGGCGAAGCGCTTGCTTGAGGTGATCGACACTTTGGTATTTTTTAGTGCCAACCTTGCTTTCCAAAATACTCCAGACACAATAGTTCAACGGATTGGTATCCGGAGATTTTGGTGACCATTGTGAGCTGGAAATATAGCGAGCGAACCACATTTTGTAATCATTCTTGGGTGGCGCGTGCTGAGTGCGATGGTGGTGAGTCCTTTTGGAATGTCCAAGGCCTGCGGCCAAAATTTTTGCGTGTCCAAGGCTCTAATCAACCCACCAGAATATTTTCGCGATAATATTCGGTATTTATTCTGATGCCACGGTCGGTTAATACGAGCGAGGAGCGACCATCGGCTGTTATGGCGGCCCACACCATCACTATGGCCGGCGCTTGAGTTCTGGTGGCCAAGCGAAGGTGCATATTTTTAGCTGTGCTCTTTGGCAAATAAAAACGTTAATTTTGTTTGTTTACAAACGGCAGTTCAACACTTTCGGCCAAGCGAAGCAACTCTTTAACTTTTTATACCCTACACCACAAGGAGGTCAGGGTATTATGTCTTTGTGCATTTTTTTGTAACAGGCAAAAGGAAACGAGATAGACCCATTGTTGTTGTTGTTGTAGCAGTAGTACATGTGTGTGTTTGTGTTCTGCTAATCTGGTTCCAGCTCCAGGTTTAGAAATTCGGCTACTTTAACGGGCTGTAGCCAGAGATCCTCTGGAGTGAGTTGGGTAGGTTTGGCTGAGCAATTAAAAAGGTGTAGCGTATTGTGCGGGCCTGTATCGCACGCCGGGCAGGCGTCACGCACATCTTCATCAATTCGTGCCCAATACGAATTGAGGCGACTACACCATCCTGAACGTAATTGCGCCAAAACTACCCTGGTTTGTCTAGGCAGCTGACGTTCTTCGGCTGCAATGGATGGGGGGTGGACTCCGAGGACGGCATTCACTTTATAACTGCTAATAGCATCCGCGACTGCATCGGTGTGAATGCCACTCAGACCTGCCTGATAGGCTTCTTGATCTAGAGGCTCTCTCTTGTAGCGCTGGACCTCCCTCTCTAGATCATGTAAGTCCTTCCTGACACGCCTGGGTGGGGGAGAGTTATCCACCATATGATGGTTGGGATGGCTCTCACGGTAACACCCAAGCAGGTACTGCAACGAAAGCATATGATTATGCTGACGTAAGGGAAGGACTTTCGCCTCCTCATGTAGATGGTCCACAGATAGACCCATAGTTCCTTTTGATGATGTGCATAGGATCACATTCTGAGTCGATTTATGCATGTCCGTCCGTCTGTCCATGTATTTTTGTAAACAAAGTACAGTTCGCATTTATTGCCCAATCCAGATGAAATTTTGCACAGATCATTTGTTTGGCCTAAGGACGAACCCTATTAAAATTGGAGATAATCCGTCAAAATTTAGACATAGCTCCCATATATATCTTCCTCCGATTTTCATTTTATTGTGCACCAAACGTGTAATATCAGTCCGAATAGTATTTAATTTTGCACGTACAACCAAATTAGACCTGAAAATAAGTATGCCAAATTTGATCGAAATCGGTTCAGATATAGCTATAGCTCCCATATATATATTGTTCATCCGATTTGTTATTTTTGTCCTCCGCAGCCGTAATATGCACTCTGTAACAACAATATTTGGGGAAATATATCAAATACAGCTCAGAAATACATTTGCTAAATTTTATCAAGATCGGTTCAGATTTTTATATAGCTCCCATATACAACTTCGTCCGATTTACCTTTTATTGTGCACCAAACGTCTAATATTTGTCCAAATGGGATGGAATTTGGCACTTACGACCGAATTGAGACTAGAAGCTAGTATGCCAAATTTGGTGAAGATCGGTTCAGATATAGCTATAGCTTCAATATATATTGTTCATCCGATTTGTTGTATTTGTTACCCACAGCCATAATATGCACTCCGTAACAACGATATTCAGGGAAATATATGAAATACAGCTCAGAAATATATTTGCCAAATTTTATCGAGATCGTTTTAGATTTGGATATAGCTCCCATACATAACTTCGTCCGATTTATCTTTTATTGTGCACCAAACATCTAATATTTGCCCAAATGGGATGAAATTTGGCACTTACTACCGAATTGAGTCTAGAAGCTAGTATGTCAAATTTAGTGAAGATCGGTTCAGATATAGTTATAGCTCCCATATATATTGTTAATCTGATTTGTTATATTTGCCATCCACAGCCGTAATATGCACTCCGTAACAACGATATTCAGGGAAATATATCAAATACAGCTCAGAAATTTTTTTTGCTAAATTTTATCGAGATCGGTACCGATTTGGATATATCTCCCATATATATCAAATGGGCAATACAAGTCCGAATTTAAAAGATACAAATGCTTCGGCATATTTCTGTCTTTTGAACTTTAAATTATAATTATAATCATAGCGTGTATGATTGAATTCTCCCATAAAAACTTTTAATTGTTATGCGCAGCTCTACTAAATTAGCAAAGTGGTGTAGGGTATCATAATGTCGGCCCGCCCGACTTTAAGACTTTCTTTACTGGTTTTCTCTCATGTATTTTGGCTGTTCTCATTTTAGTGGAATGCAAGTCTAGATGCAGTGAATAGAGGAAACAACGATAACTGTACTCAGCTCCCCGCTACATAAGATTTCTTCCACTATGTGCAAATAATAAAAATTGTGATATGTATTTTATAAATGATTTATTTTTTTAATGTTTGTTAAACAAACACTTATCAATAACGCCATGGTCTGGCAAAGTAGGGATCTTCCCTATAACCACTGCCGCTGCTACTGGACGACGATGATGCAGAACTGGATGAACCACCTCCAAATCCAGAACTGGCAACTGATGACGAAGACGACGCCGCCGATGAACCACCAAATGCTGATGTGGCTGCTGACGATGCAGCTGCCGCTGAGGAACTAGGCAAGGATAATGGGCCAATTTTAGAATTTCCAAACATGTTGGGATCGTGGTGTTGTCCAAATTTGGGACGATGATGATGATAGCTTTCCTGTTTCATTGAAAGATGATGGGAGTAGCCATCACCACGATTATAATTCCAATCACCACGGCTGTGGTGAATTCTGTGATGACCACCCGTGGCAGCCTGTTGTTGATCGACATTTTGGTAGTTATTGACATTTATTATTGGAGAATTGTTATTCTCTTCCTGAAGACCAGGGCCATAGAATTTCGATTGAAAACCCTCTCCACGAGGCTTGTGTAAAAATAAACCACCATGACATTGTCCCAGTAGGAAAAAGGTTGTACAAATTATAAACTGCAAGCAGAGAGTGAGTAAGGAATATTCAAAACTTTTTTCGAGAGGACCCAAAATTTGTATAACTTACCGCTCTCATGGTTACGTTATGGAATGTGTGTGTCTGTGTTTTGAGTTACCGCAAAAGACTGATGCTTTGTTCACAGCATCGATGAGATTTTATATTCCATTCTCAGGTAGTACGTTGATAAATGGAAAACTAGTCCTCGCAATTTATCCTGCCCCTTCGACGCTATATTTACCTGCCAAAATAATATCGGCAGATGTTTTTAAGAACTTGGATTTACTTTATGGCCGAATTCGAGAAATTGATTACTGGATTGGCATTTCAGGAATTTCCACTAAATTGGTGGATTTTCTCCAAATAACGGAAAGTTATTAGTTTATTACTCGAACTATTTCAAATACATTTTTTATACCCACCACCGTAATATGGAGGGTATATTAAGTTTGTCATTCTGTTTGTAACACCTCGAAAAATACATTTTAGACCCCACAAAGTAAATAAATTCTCGATCAGCATATGTCGATTTAGCGATGTCCGTCCGTCTTTCCCTCCGTGGAAATCACTCTAGCTTCCGAACGAATTGAAGTAGATTGATAAAATTTTACTCAAATGTATATTATGTCTGCAGGACTTTTGATATTGAAAATGGGCCATGTAGGTCCACGTTTTGGCCCCCATATAGCAGTACCTCCCTATATTCGGAATTTTGATGATTTTAGCGACATTATTCATCGGAATTGTTTCAAATTTGGTATTTGAAGTTCGTAACAGCAGCTACAGCCTAAGACACAAAATTGTCTGTGCAGCTCTACGTCTTCGTATAGCCCCCATATAACGGTACCTCCCTATATTCGGAATTTTGATGATTTTAGCGTCATTATTCATCGGAATTGTTTCAAATTTGGTATTTGAAGTTCGTAACAGAAGCTACAGCCTAAGACAGAAAATTGTCTGTGCAGCTCTACGTCTTCGTATAGCCCCCATATAACGGTACCTCCCTATATTCGGAATTTTGATGATTTTAGCTACATTATTCATCGTTTTTTTTAAGTTTCGCATTTGTCTCAGGACAAAAGTTACCTATGCAGGTCCATGTCGTTACATAGACCCTAATATAACAGCTACATTGGGTATTTTTAAGATTTTTTAAAGGATTTTTTTGAAAATTGCCAAAATCGTTCCAAATGGTAGAGGGTATTCAATGATCGGTCTGGCGGAACTTACAGCTTTTTTTTTCTTGTTTTTTAGTTTGAATGGCGGGATGTAAGGACTATCAAATTTGGATTTTAAAAATATTTTTTTTTTAGCGAAAATCGTGGATTTTTTAAGAAATCAACGCCCAGAAGAAACGGATGAAGCTGGAATCTTGAAATTCTGCATGTGAGCCAGTCTAGGCGTGTAGGCATGTGATAACGCTGGATTTTTGGAAATTCGTACTAAAAAGGTACGAAAAGTACTAAAAATGACCTAAAATTTTAATACTTTGTGTTAGACAAACGGATTGAGCGAGAAATCTGAATTCGAAATGAATGAGACCACTGATTGAGTGATGGATAGATGTACCAAAGGGTTCCTGAAAATTTCAAAAAGTCCTAAAATGGTGCCATTAGTTATTATGTGAACGGATAGAGCTAAAAAATTGAAATTTGGTATGAGAATCAAGGATTGAAAATTTGATATATGAAGGTGGTTTTGGGAATGTGCACCAAGTGTGTACGAACTGTACTGTAGATGGTACTAAGTTTGTGCGCAATTCATGTGTAGCCGATGGTCGCTCTCCGCTCGTATTAATCGATGGTGGCGTCAGAATAAATGCCGAATATTATGGCGAAAATATTCTGGAGTGTGTATTAAAGCCTTGGGCACGCAAGCATTTCGGCCGCAGACCTTGGACATTCCAACAGGACTCAGCACAATCGCACTCAGCACGCACTACCCAAGAATGCTTACAAACTGAGATTCCTCGCTTCATTTCCAGCGCAAAATGGCCACCAAAATCTCCGGATATCAATCCGTTCGACTATTGTGTCTGGAGTATTTTGGAAAGCTAGGTTGGCACTAAAAAAATACCAAAATGTCGATCACCTCAAGCAAGCGCTTCTCCCGGAATGGGCCAAAATACCGCAGAGCAACATTCGGCAGCGTGTGAAGGTTTCATTGGCCTTCGAAGGCCATAATTCGTGGCAAAGGTGACCAATTCGAAAAAATCTAAACTTATTCTAAAATTTGATGCTATTTCCGATATTTTTTGCTTTCGTTCAAAAAAAATTAAGAAAAAAATGTAAAAATTATGGCGTTTGACTTTGTTGCCGTTTTTTTTTTATCTCACCCTGTACACATTTCCGAAACCATTTCCATATCTAAACAGCAGACACCAACAATGACATTTATATCAAATTTAGAGCCAGCCTATCCCTTCAACCCAAATACCAAATTTGTACAAATGTAGGACGTATTTCCGAACCACAGCCAAATCTCTTGAAATCAAAACTGGCTTTACTTTAGTGAAATTAGGAGAGTGGAATTTTGAATTATAAAAAACTTCAATTTTTTTCAGTAGATAAATAAGTTTTTTTTGCAAGTCAAATCCCTAAAGGAGTCTCGGGTTCTTAGGCCAAACGCCCCCATCTAGTTTGAGATATATTTCACAACATTTTGTTCAGAAATTTGATATTCGGTAGAGATTTTTGGATTACATCTAGACTCATAGGTATAGAAAATGGGTCATATCGGTCCTCTTTTTGGTACAGCCCACAATTAGGGATATCTCCAATCTTAGATATTTTCGGCCATGTTATCCATTTAATTTTACAGAATTTTGATATTTTCAATTCTCATTGTCTGTTTTCAAAAAATTATATAAATATAGGTCCGCCTTTTGAAATATCCCTTGGAGCATCCCCTATTTATACCCTACACCACAAGGTGGTCAGGGTATTATGTCTTTGTGCATTTGTATGTAACAGGCAAAAGAAAACGAGATAGACCCATAGTTCCTTTTGATGATCTGCATAGAATCACATACTGAGTCGATTTATGCATGTCCGTCCGTCTGTCCATGTATTTTTGTAAACAATGTACAGGTCGCATTTATTACCCGATCCAGATGAAATTTTGCACGAATCATTTGTTTGGCCCAAGGACGAACCCTATTGAAATAAGAGATAATCGGTCAAAATGTAGATATAGCTCCCATATATATCTTCATCCGATTTGGCTTTTATTGTGCACCAAACGTGTTATATCAATCCGAATAGTATGGAATTTTGCACGTACGATCAGATTGGACATCAAAATAAGTATGCCAAATTTTATCAAAATCGGTTCAGATATTGTTCATCCGATTTATTATTTTTGTCCTCCGCAGCCGTAATATGCACTCTGTAACAAAAAAATTTGGGGAAATATATCAAATACAGCTCAGAAATACCTTTGCTAAATTTTATCGAGATCGGTTCAGATTTCGATATAGCTCCCATATATAACATCGTCCGATTTATCTTTTATTGTGCACCAAACGTGTAATATCAGGCCGAATAGTATGCAATTTTGCACATACAACCAAATTCGGCCTGAAAATATGTATGCCAAATTTGATCGAAATCGGTTCAGATATAGCTATAGCTCCCATATATATTTTTCATCCGATTTCTTATATTTGTTACCCACAGCCGTAATATGCACTCCGTAATAATGATATTTAGGGAAATATATGAGATACAGCTCAGAAATATTTTTGCCAAATTTTATCAAGATCGGTTCAGATTTGGATATAGCTCGCATATATAACTTCGTCCGATTTACCTTTTATTGTGCACCAAACGTCTAATATTTGTCCAAATGGAATGAAATTTGGCACTTACGACCGAATTGAGTCTAGAAGCTAGTATGTCAAATTTGTTGAAGATCGGTTCAGATATAGCTATAGCTCCCACATATATTGTTCATCCGATTTGTTATATTTGTTACCAACAGCCGTTCGATAAATGAATTCTCCCATAAAATCTTTGAATTGTTATGCGGAGCTCTACTAAATTAGCAAAGTGGTGTAGGGTATCATAAAGTTGGCCCCGCCCGACTTTAAGACTTTCTTTACTGGTTTTTTATTGCACAGTGTTACTGCCGATTTTAATTTTTACCTCTGCAAAATGGGACGGCAAAAGTATAAAGTAATTAGGTTTTATTCCGGCTACATCGTACATGGATTAATGCCATTGCAAAATTCCAGGGAAGGATAATTAAGGTGGCAAAATCTCAGTTCTTCTGAAAATTTACCTGAATTTCGTGAAATTCGGTAATTTTGTTTGAAATTTCCCACTTAAAAATTGCAGGACTTACCTAATGTCCTTTTTTACCTGCCGCGATCATTAAAAAGAGCTTAGACACCCATCAGCAACATCAGTTTTCCTTGCGAAGTCAAAGAGTTCTCATCATATTTGAAAAAAAAAATGAAAGTGGTAAGTTCGAACGCTGAAACCCCGAAATAATTCTCTTCGAAATAAAAATATTTCAATATTTGCAGCTATTTTCCCTAATTTACTTGGCCACGATTTCCCACTGCAAAGGTGGTCTGATACTCAATAATGTTCAGGGTATTTTTGGCACGGCTCCCCATTCATCCAATTCACCAATCATTTATGTGAATAAATATCAAAATCCTCCACGAACTCCTCAAATCTATGGAGAATTTCAATTGACGACCAGCAGTAATCGGGAACATAGTCGTGGTGATCATGGTACGCTCTATGATTACGAAAGGCAACAGCAACAACAACACAATTATGTCAATACCAACATCAAGGGTGGTGGCCTAAAATATGGTTATGCTAGTCCGAATTCAGTGAAGAAAGAGACCTATCATCATCGCCATGCTGTACCATCTACATTGGAGGGAGTCTCAACTTTGGCTAGACGTGGAGATGAAGGAGTTTATTTTAGCGATGGGGTCAAACCCTAGATTTAGAGAGTTAAGGACTGAAATTTGTGTAACAAATTGTAATTGAAAATTTGAATAAAAAGGACCTATTTTAAATGTGAAATGGTGTAATAAAAGGCTCTGATGGTCTTTGAAAAAAAAATCTTCATATAAAATCCATATTTAGTGGTCTGATGATCCCTGAAAAATATGTCCTTAGAGATATATATTTTAAAAAATCCACGTTTTGTGGTCTAATGGTCCTTGATAAAAGCAAGAGATAAAAGAAAGAACAAAATTATTATTAACCAGTAAAGAAAGTCTTAAAGTCGGGCGAGGCCGACTTGATGATACCCTACACCACTTTGCTGATTTAGTAGAGTTCCGCATGACAATTAAAAGTTTTTATGGGAGAATTCAATCATACATGCTATGATTATAATTATAATTTAAAGTTCAAAGGACTAAATATGCCGAAGCATTTGTATTTTTTAAATTCGGACTTGTATTGCCCATTTGGTGCAAAATTATTTTGAAATCGGATAAAATATATATGGGAGCTATATCCAAATCTGAACCGATCTCGATAAAATTTAGCAAAAAAATTTCTGAGCTGTATTTCATATATTTCCCTGAATATCGTTGTTACGGACGGCATATTACGGCTGCGGAGGACAAAAATAACAAATCGGATGAACAATATATATGGGAGCTATAGCTATATCTGAACCGATTTCGATCAAATTTAACATACTAACTTCTAGACTCAATTCAGTAGTAAGTGCCAAATTTCATCCCATTTGGGCAAATATTAGACGTTTGATGCACAATAAAAGGTAAATCGGACGAAGTTATGTGTGGGAGATATATCCAAATCCCAACCGATATCGATAAAATTTAGCAAATGTTTTTCTGAGCTGTATTTGATATATTTCCCCAAATTTTGTTGTTACAGAGTGCATATTACGGCTGCGGAGGACTAAAATAACAATTCGGATGAACAATATATATGGGAGCTATAGCTATATTTGAACCGATTTCGATCAAATTTGCCATACTTATTTTCAAGCCTAATTTGGTTGTATGTACAAAAGTCCATACTATTCGGACTGATATTACACGTTTGGTGCACAATTAAAAGCAAATCGGACGAAGATATATATGGGAGCTATAGCTATATCTGAACCGATCTTCACCAAATTTGACATACTAGCTTCTAGACTCAATTCGGTCGTAGGTGCCAAATTTCATCCCATTTGGGCAAATATAAGACGTTTGGTGCACAACCAAAGGTAAATCGGACGAAGTTATATATGGGAGATATATCCAAATCTGAACCGATCTCGATAAAATTTAGCAAAGGTATTTCTGACCTGTATTTGATATATTTCCCCAAATATTGTTGTTACAGAGTGCATATTACGGCTGCGGAGGACAAAAATAACAAATCGGATGAACAATATATGTGGGAGCTATAGCTATATCTGAACCGATTTCGACCAAATTTGGCATACTAGCTTCTAGACTCAATTCGGTCGTAAGTGCCAAACTTCATTCCATTTGGGCAAATATTAGACGTTTAGTGCACAATCAAAGGTAAATCGGACGAAGTTATATATGGGAGCTATATCCAAATCTGAACCGATTTCGATAAAATTTAGCAAAGGTATTTCTGAGCTGTATTTGATATATTTCTCCAAATATTGTTGTTACAGAGTGCATATTACGGCTGCGGAGGACAAAAATAACAAATCGGATGATCAATATATGTGGGAGCTATAGCTATATCTGAACCGATTTCGATCAAATTTGGCATACTTATTTTCAGACTTAATTTGGTTATATGTGCAAAATTCCATACTATTCGGACTGATATTACACGTTTGGCGCACAATAAAAAGCAAATCGGACGAAGATATATATGGGAGCTATATCTAAATATTTACCGATTATCTCCAATTTCAATAGGGTTCGTCCTTGGGCCAAACAAATGATTTGTGCAAAATTTCATCTGGATCGGACAATAAATGCGAACTGTACTTTGTTCACAAAAATACATGGACAGACGGGCAGACAGACGGACAGACGGACAGACGGACGGACATGCATAAATCGACTCAGAGTGTGATTCTATGCAGATCATCAAAAGGAACTATGGGTCTATCTCGTTTCCTTTTGCCTGTTACAGACAAATCCACAAAGACTTAATACCCTGACCACCTTGTGGTGTAGGGTATAAAAACCCACATTTAACCCTCTTGGCGTACAAAAGTATTCTCAAATAATCCAAGTGTAGTGGTCTGATGGTCCTTGAAAATTTTTTCTTAAAATCCAAGTTAAAAGGTCTTATGGTTATTGACAAAATATTCTCAAAAAGATCCTTGTTTATTGGTCTGAAGGTCCTTGAAAAAAAACCTCCATATAAAGTCGAAATTTTGTGGTCTAATGGTCCTGGAAAAATATTCTCAAAAAAATTTTGTTTAGTAGTCCGATGGTCCTTGGAAAAATATTCTCAAAACATCCTAGTTTTATGGTCTGATGGTCCTTGACAAAATATTTTAAAAAAATCCACGTCTAGTCGTCCTTGAAAAAATATCCATATGAAGTCCACGTTGAGTGGTATTTTGATCCTTGAAGAAATATCCTTAAAAATCCTCGTTTTGTGGTCTGATGGTCCTTGAAGGAAATCCTTTAAAAAATTTCAAGTTTAGGGGTCTGTTGATCCTTAAAAAATCATCCTGAACAAATCCATGTTTTTTGGTCTGATGGTCCTTAAAAAAATATCCTTAACGTTTAGTGAAACAACATCCACATGAAGCCCAAGTTTAGTGGTCTTTTGATTCTTGAAAAAAACGTCTTTAAGAAATCCACTTTTTGTGTTCTGTTAATCCTTGAAAAAAAAAAAAACATCCCTATGAGTTCCAAGTTTAGTGGTCTGATGATCCTTGAAAAAATATCCATTTGAAGTCTACGTTTAGTGGTCTTTTGATCTTTGAAAACATCCATACAAAAACAATGTTTTGTATTAAATAATCCAATTTTAGGGGTCTTTCGATCCTTAAAAATCTATTTTGGTCTGATGGTCTTTGAAAAATATCCTTAAATAATCCAAGTTTGTGGGTTTGATGGCCTTGCAAAAATATTCTAATAAAATTCATGTTTGGTGCTCTGTTAGTCCTTGATGAAAATATTTTTTGAAATCCAAATTTAGTGATCTGATATTCCTTGAGAGAACAATTACAGGCTGAGATAAAAAAAACTGCAACAAAGTCAAACGCCATAATTTTTAAATTTTTTTCTAAATTTTATTGAATGAAAGCAAAAAATATCGGAAATAGCATCAAATTTTAGAATAAGTTTAGATTTGTTCGAATTGGTCACCTTTGGCACGAATTATGGCATTCTAACGGCCAATGAAGCCGTCACACGCTGCCCGAATGTTGCTCTATGGTATTTTGGCCCATTCCCGACGAAGCGCTTGCTTGAGGTGATCGACACTTTGGTATTTTTTAGTGCCAACCTTGCTTTCCAAAATAATCCTGACACAATAGTCCAATGGATTGGTATCCGGAGATTTTGAAGGCCATTGTGGGCTGGAAATGAAACGAGGAACCTTATTTTGTAACCATTCTTGGGTGGCACGTGCTGAGTCCTATTGGAATGTCCGAGGTCTGCGGTCAAAATGTTTGCGTACCCAAGGCTTTAATACACCCTACAGAATATTTTCGCGATTCATTCATTCATTCTGATGCCACGGTCGATTAATAAGAGCGGAGAGCGACCATCGTCCCACACCATCACCATGGCCGGCGCATGAATTCTGGTGGCCAACCGAAGGTGCACATTTTCAGCTGACCTCTTTGGGAAGTAAACACGATCATTTTGTTTGTTTACAAACTGCTAGGCAACGAATGTTTTCTCATCGGAGAGGAGAAAACCAAATTCGGCAGTTCACCGCTTTCGGCCAAGCGAAGCAATTCTTTAGATCTTTTGAGTCTATTTCTTTCTGTTGCGGTGTAAGTTCTTGCACTTTTTGGAATATCAATTGCTTTACTCCGAGCTCATTTTTCAATATTTGCCGATTAGAATATTGCGATATGTTCAGCTCACGAGCCTTTTTTTTGGTCACTGCGATACGAGTTTCGATCAAGTTGCTTCTTTACTTTATGAACCATTTCTGCTAATGTTGCCGTTTTCTTCCGTCCACTTCCATGACGTCGGGCTACGCTTCCAGTATCCCAGTATCATGGTAACGAGCGATGGTACGAGACACAAAAGATTTATTCACATTTAAATGCTGGAGTGCTCTAACGATAGCCACTCGGGGGTTTCCAGCCAAATATAAAGAAATCACACTATCACGTTTGAATTCCATCACAAATAACTTTTAAATTCTCACCAAAATGCTTTTGAACGCTTGTAAATAATATAATGAGCTGTCACTGGAATAATTTTAACAGCTGTCGGACGAATGGCTTAGAAATGACAGCAGTCTGAAGTTGACTGCAGTTTTTTCACCTCACCCTATATACAAAATCGAAGTTTTGTGGTCTGATGGAGCAAAACTATTCTCAATAATCCAATTGACAAAATATTCTCAAAAAAAAAACCCCATTTATTAGTCTGAAGTTCCTTTTGAAAACCTCCATATAAAGTCGAAATTTTGTTGTCTGAAGGTCCTGGAAAATACTCTCAAAGAAATCTTGTTTAGTGGTCCGATGGTCCTTGGAAAAATATTCTCAAAACTTCCTAGTTTTATTGTCTGTTGGTCCTTGAGAAAATATTCTCAAAAAATCCCCTTCTAGTCTTCTGTTAGTCCTTACAAAGTTATTCTTCTTTAATCGACGTTTAATGGTCTGATGTCACTTGAAAACATATTTCCAAAAAAAAGTAGTTTTGGAATTTGATGGTCCATGAGAAAATATTCACATAAACTTTATGGTCCATGAACATAAATTTTTATAAAATCCACGTTTAGTGCTCTGAAGTTTCTTTAAAAAAAAATTATTAAAATCCACTTTTATTGGTCCATGACGCTGATTAACGGTCCTCAAAAATGATTTCTCCAAAAATCCATATTTAATGGTCGGCTGGTCCTTAAAAAGTATACTTATAAAATCCCCGATTAGTTTTCTAATAGTCCTTGAAAAAAGGTCTTCGAAA